TATTTAATTTTGTTAAGCCTATTCTGTTGAGCAACAAATTTCAGCACTTGGCTTCTGCAGATGAGGAACTGTTGGAGGGAAAGAAAACAAAAAGATCAGAGAAGGATGTGGATGATAAGGAGGTTATAGTTTTAGGTGGTTCCTTGACAAGGTATGTGGATAGAATAGTCTGTGGGGTAAATAGGGAGAAAAGAATAAGATTATGCTACTCAGAGGCACAGGTGAAGGATATAACCGGTAGAGCAGAGATATAATAAAATGGGCTAGCAGAGATGCAGTTTTTGTGGTGCATGTAGGGGCTAATGATGTAGAGAAAGGGAGGTCAAAGGAGCTAATTAATAAGTACAAGGGTTTGATAAAGTCATTTAAAGAAAAAGACCATAACTTAATTTTGTCAGGGATACTGCCAAGAATCAACTGTGGGGATGCAGTTATAAGTAGGTCACTAATATGTAAGGATGAGCAGCTGGTTGGACTTGTGGGATCAGTTCAATGGGAGAAGGGAGCTTTTTGGAATGGATGGTTTACATTGAAATAGGATAAGATCTGGCTTGTTTGCAACGGCCATTAATTCAACATTAATCAACTAGACGGTGATGTGGGTCAGAATAACCTAAATGCAAAAATAAAAAATAGAGAAAAGTTTATCATAGGAAATAAGTATAGAAGTAGTTCTAAGGATAGGCTTAATTGTTGCTGTTGTAACGCTAGATGTGAGTTACATCCTGTTGATGTTGAGGATATTAAAGATAATAGCAAGGAGATTGAATCCATTTGGGTTTCTATTAGTGGATATATAGAGGGAAAAAAAGGCTTGTAGTGGAGATTTGTTATAGACTACCAGATGATACTGATAACATTAGTGAGAGACTTGACAGTGGATTAAGATTTCAACTGTTAATGAGGTCATAATTATTGGTGGTTTTAATTTCAGGAAATGATTGCTAGAGTCAAACCATGAGGGACAGAGGTTTTTGGAAACTGTTAAAGATGATTTTCTTCACCAATTGGTCTGAGAATCTACTAGACACAATGTTATTTTAGATTTATTGTTAACTTCTAATATAGAAATTGTTGAGAGGGTGGAAATTAGGGAACATCTGGGTGCAAGTGATTATGGGGTGTTAGTTTGATGTTTTGCTGCATATATAAATAAGGAATAATGTTATTTTGGTTACAAGTTTCAAAAAAGTGAATTTTGAAGGGATATGACAAGAATTATCTGTTGTGAATTGGGCAGCTGAGTTATTTGGAGACACTGATCAGATGTGGAAAAGTTTTAAATATTCAAGATAAATATATTCCTTATAGAAAGAAAAGTGTAGCTGCAAGTAAAAAACCAGGTTGGCTCACAAAGAGTTTAAGAGATAAAATTAAATAAAAGCATCATAAATTTAAGAAATTTAAATTGACTGGTATGATAGGATTTAGAAGATTATAGAAGATCAAGAAAGTTGGTGAAACAGGAAATTAGGACACCAAGAAGGATGTATGAAAAAAGGTTGGCTGAAAATGGAAAAATTAATGGTAAGGATTTCTTTAAATACATTAAGGGCAAACAAAATGTTAGGATGGGGTAGGACCCTTGAGAGATGATAAAGGAAGGCTAGTATCTGATGATTATGAGATGGCTGGGTCATTAAATTTTGCTTTTTCTTCAGTTTTTACTAATAAAGATTTAAGCAGTATTCCACATCTCGAACAGTTGATAAATGGAAACAAGGTCAAACAAATTGACTGTATTAATTCTGAGCTGGTTAAGAAGAAATTAGGAAGTTTAAAAAATGATAAGGCTCCTGGGCCACATAATATTTCCCCAAGGGTTTTGAAGGAGGTTAAGGATTGGATATGTGAGCCACCTGTTACTATATGTTTTGTAAGTTATTGAATAGTGGGCAGGTACCAGAAGATTGGAACTTAGCTAATGTAACTCCTTTTTTCAAGGGAGGTGATAAAAATTGTCCCACTAATTACAGACCCATTAGTCTTACATAAGTTGTAGGAAATGTTTTGGGAGGTCTGTTAAAAGATGCTTTGCAAAGTCATTTAACAAAGCTTAGAATTTTATTGGATAGTCAACATGGTTTCACTAAGGGAAAATCTTGCCTTACAAGTTTTTTCACATTGTTTGAAAAGGTTACTGTTTATGTAGATGAGAGTAAGGGTGTAGATTTGGTGTATCTGGATTATCAGAAAGCATTTAACAAGGTGCCACATAAAATGCTTGTTAAAAAAAAAGCTCTATAGGTGTGGGGGATAAATTAGCAAATTGGATAGAAGAGTGGCTGGATGGAAGAAAGCAGAGGGTTGTTACAAATGGAGTTCAGTCAAACTGGATTAATGTCACAAGTGGGGTACCTCAGAGTTCAGTATCAGGACCTTTTCTCTTTTTTATTTACATTAATGACATAGATGAAGGAATAGTCAATAAATTACATAAATTTGCAGATTGATATTAAGGTCTTGGATGTTGCCAGCTGTGAAGAGGATGCTGCTGATTTACAAAAGGATTTATATCATTTAGTGAGTTGGGCAAATAAATGACAAATGGGTTATGATTATAATAAATACAAGGTAATGTATGTGGGTTATCATAATTTGAATTATAAATATAATTTTGATGGGAATAACCTTAATAGTGTTATGAAGGAAAGGGATCTTGGGGTAATAGTTGATCACTCTTGAAAGCCATCCAAGCAGTGTGTTGTTGCTAGTGGTAGGGCATATAGAATTTTAGGTTGTATGTACAGAAATATTGAATATAAGTCTAAAGAGGTTATAATTTCATTGTACAGGTCACTGGTTAGGCCACATTTGGAATATTGTGTTCAGTCTTGGGCTATTTACCTTAGGAAAGACATTGAATCATTGGAAAAGGTTCAGGAGTTACTAGAATGGAAGGGTTGTCATATGAGGAGAGCCTGAAATCTCTCAAATTGTTTTTTCTTGAAAAAAGAAGAGTTGGGGGGGGGGTCTGATTGTGGTGTTTAAGATTGTAAAGGGAATTGATCCTTCATATTTAACGGTGAGAATAGTAGGACTAGAGGACAAAAATATTAATTTTGGCAAGATAGGAGTCATCTTCAGCTAAAACAGTTTCATTTTTTTAACAGGGTGGATGGCCTTTGGAATGGGTTGCTTTTGAATGTTGTAGAGGCATTAAATTTAAGTGAGTTTAAGAACAAATTTCAGAAGTATATGAATGATAAGGGCTGGCTTTAAGATTTTTTTTTTAAATATTTCAATTTAGTTTAGAGGGTGGAACATCCGAGATGGGCCAATAGGTCCTATATTGTCCCAAAACATTATGTTATGTTAATTGCACACCTTTATACACAGTCTCAACTTTAAACAAAACAAAATTTAATTCATACCTCACTACCCTACACAATAAATACTTCTAGTTTTAGTGCACAGCTCTATCAAGCAAAACTTTCTATTTCCTGCTGCACACCTGTTTTAATCAGTCCCATTTCACATCTCTGCACAGGAATCTTTTAGTTTTCACTACAAAACCCTATACAATTTAAAACTACGTAACTCTAAACAATGGAAATCTCTAATATTCATTGTAAACCTCTACAGTCAACTTCTCTAGCTACTAATTGACAACTCTATACAGTAAAAGCTTCCAGTTTTGGTATACTTGGCACACGTACTGATGATTGGACATTTTGTTGTAGATATAATTTACAGAAGAAATATTTGAGAAGAAAATGGTTAAATGAAACATTATTAATATTAATCAAACAAAAACAAAAATTACATTTACCATTATAATGAATGACAGATGTAATAAGACAACAGATATGAACAAATTGGCATATTTTTGGTTTGAATTTTGTGCAAAGTTACAGGACGGCTATTTATGCTAGCCATCCCTAATTTAGTAGTAAGAGGCTAGAGGGAAGGCAGCTAGTCAAAACCACAACCCGCAGATTATGAGTCAAGCACTCTAACCACCAGACCATGCCAGGTCTTAACTGGCATAGAAAATGATATTGAATTTGGGCAGGCATTTAAATGAATAAATAACAGTAGATGCAACATGTCCAGTTAGACAAGTAAGCACATACATGTGTGACAACAAAGAAATTGAGATGAGCTGCATTAATACAGAAAACTTGATAAAGGAAAGTAGAAACAAAATGTAACAGAAGAAAGCTGGCATAACAAGAGGGTTTGAAAGAGACATTTCTGATGACTTGACATATAGGTGAAAATTATGTTGTTGTTTTTTTTTGGCACATTTACATTTTAAGTGATTTCAGTTTTATAGTACAAAAGGTAAATGGTAACAATATATGCCATTATTTATTCATAAACACCAACAAAAAAAGAAATAACTAAAAAATGGGCAGATATCTTAACAAAAATAAGGCAAAAAACAGAAAACACACACATAAAAAAAGATGGGTAAATGCTTTCCTAGAGTGAATTTGTAGCTTGATAAAAAGAAAAAAAATGTAGGTAACTTTAGAAAGGAACTGAGACTAATTCCCTGTACGATGATAAATAAAATGTACATGGCTTTGCACAGAATAATATATGCTATGACAGAAGAGTCTAGATTAATGAATTGGCCTGAAGATTTGGTTTGGTTGGAAGTTAGTGCAATGCTACATGAGGGCTATCTGTGCTAGCCATTCATAATTTAGCAGTGAAAAACTAGAGGGAAGGCAGCTAGTCATCACCAACTCTTGGGCTATGCTTTAACTAATGTATAGTGAGATTGACTGGAACATTATAATGCCCTCACAGCTGAAAGGGCAAGCATGTTTGGTGGGACGAGGATTCAAACCTGTGACCCGCAGATTGAGAGTCGAGTGTCCAAACCACTGGGCCATGCCAGACTGATGAGCCTGAAGAACTTACAAGGAATAAGTATTCCAGATAATATTTGATAAACAGAACATAGGTTCTGATAACTATTCTTTAATACAAAATTGACAAATTTCTAATCACAGCTTTCAAGACACATTATTCACAAACATTCAAAAGACCTTTTATCAATCTTTTATTCATAAAAAGCTTTTTGAGAAGCTCACAGTCCATGATACAATAAACTGTCAATAGGTGGTCTCTCGACTGTTGAATAATTTGATCTTATTGTAAGCTATTCATATATGGAGAAAGAGAGATGACTGAATCCATACATAGGTACAAACAATGGAGTGGAGGGTATGTTTACATGCTGTTGCAAAACTTATTTAAGGTATTGAAATGGCCTTATTCTGAGTTTAAAACTTAACTTGGGTATTATTGTTTTGTATTTATATACAGGACAACATATACATCAAACATTTTGCAACCTTACATTTAATAATGCAACAATTTATAAATATTTCAAGTTGGATAGAACAAGAAGTAGAAACAGGTTGATTTCAAATGATGAAGTAGAGGATATTAAAAAAACTAAATTCTAGATAGAAACAGTTTTGCTCCCATTTCTTCTCTGGAATATTAAGAAAACGTATATGTATTAACTCTTGAGTATATAAATTTCATATTCTCATTCCTAGTATACATACTAACTTCAACTGTCACACAAACAGTAGACTCTCTGAAATGAAATGTACTAAGCTACAGTAACAAAAACACCAGAATATTTACAAATATTACGTTGCACCATTAACACAGTACACAAGGCACTAATACTATTTATAACAAACTACAGATTACACTGAGAAGACATCCTTATGTTTCATTTCACGTCAGCGTTTAGTTGTGTTTTGCTGATAAATGAGCTCACTTCAAGTACAGTTGCGTATAGTTGTTCACAAATGAAAAAATAAGACTTGAACATCAATATGGTTTTACTTTAAAAGTCTTTTCCTAAATAAAAATATAATTAAAACTGAAATGAAGATCTTGCAGCTAAAATTAAGTCTTAACACTTAAAAAACAAATGGATGTTTTAAACTCTAAGGTAATTTATTCAAATTAACTTAAAGAAAATTACTGGTTTAAAGTCAATTGAGATAGTAAGCTTTCTGATGAAAGTATCAAGATAAAAAAAAAAAAGTCAAAACTTCTTTCTGTATAATTTCTAGTCAGAGGACTATAACTGTACATGTGAAGTTTGCATCCAATACCACCCACGAAAGTTAACTTGTCACAGGCCTGGTAACTTTGGTTTATTACATCAGTGTGTCACATGTATAAAACACAACCATTCAAAGAGAGCGTCGAAACAAAAGATTTGTCCTGGTCTGAAGATTTCTCTGGGTAGCACCATATGCATAATCCAACATAAAATGATAATAAAATTAACAGTTCATACAAACTTAGAGCTCAATGATAACTCGTATAACATAAAAGTTCAAGCACAGGTGTTGCTAAAGCTATATTACATACATTTTGTAGTCATCCAAAACCTCTTTTCCTTATAAACAGTACTTCTAAGTGTACCTTACTTCTTAGCTGTTATAAATTGAAAAATAATTTCATTGAAAAATTAAAGTGGATATTATTACACCTTCAGTAAACATTCAGACTTGAAATTTTATCTTTGAACATTATTGTTTGTTGAATCTTGTGCTAGCCATTCCTAATTTTGAAGTAAAATACTAGAGCAATGGCAGCTAGTCAACACCAGCTACCACCAACTCTTGTTAGATTGAATAGTGGGATTCATCGTTCACTCTTATGCTGCACTTATGGCCCCAAAGTGCAGAGCATAATAGTTTTTGGCAATAATGAAATGTGGACCATGGAACCTCAGATTCACAGTCTGGCACACTAACCATTGGGCTACAATCAGCCCTGGATATCAGAAGTTTGAAACAATACTTAATGTTCAAAGAACAAACGTTATTACATACCTTTTCTGGTTTTAAGATTTCAACTCTTCTATGAATTTTTGTAAAGTTACCTTTCTAAATATTAAATCTAAGATATCAAAAATCCTTTATTACATGAGAAATCACTGTGAAATTAATGAATTTTTCATTACACAAATATCCATCTGCACTTAAATAGGCGTTATGCTAACTTGGTGATTTATTGTTACTACAAATAATAAAGCACCTCTTAAATAAGAGCATTAATGTATATCAAGACTACAAAGAATCAGCAAATGAAAAAATCCATCAACTTATATATTATATACAATATCTGCAAACCAAGAGCACTGAAATAATACCAGGCAAGCTAAATAACACCCATCAATAATGGTACTGAGACCCTCATCTATTTGAAGTACAGAATGCCCATCAACTAACAACAAGCTAGTACCACAGCTATTAAAGATAACAGATAGTTTAACTCAACATTACTTCTCATCTAAGTGCTTCATAACTTCTCTCACTTTCTAAAATAAGTACCTTAACTTGATAAGTTACCCAGTCCCCCACTGCACTAAGTCAGTGACAAGAGTTTTTGGCTATATGTAAAATGGGCATCTACAATGAGTGACCCACACATTTAAAGTCAGCTATATGCCTAACTAGCATAGCAATCTAAATTGCAAGTACTTCATATCCCCATCTCCCAACCTATGTTGCATTAAATGCCACAGCATGGTACTTTTCATCTTCGAAGTTACTGAAAATTCAACAAACAAGTATAGTTATAAAGAATGTAATTTCTTTTCTGTATACAAATTTTAATGATTTATCTGGAGTTTACACATCTTTAGAATGCAACATTAAAATGATTTTATTTATATAAAATTAACCTAATTCATTTGTTAAGCTTATGCTCAAACCAAATGTACTTAATTATAATTAACTGTTTTAACCTTCAAAATATTAGTAACAAATGTAACTGGGAAAACAGAAATTTGATTGACTTTTTATTGCTCTTTAAAATTAAAGTTCAATTTAGAGGTCAATCAGTTAATATATTCTAATACTTCATTAAGCAGTTTTAAAAGGGCTACAAACAGCTAATTTTATTGGCAGCTGAATGAAGCAACACTTTTAGTATGTTCAGAGCATTATTAAGAGTACAGCTTTACAAAAAGTTAACGTAACAAACACAAATATATTGAACAAAAAACAGTTTATATATATACTGGAATAGATGCATTTGTAAAAACAAAAAAAACAACACATATACAGGATATCTTTCTCTTCATACATACAGTCAAACCCCTTCTTTAGCAATTACTTAGTTTAGCCAATACAATCACTTCAAGCTAACAACCTTCCAACAAACTTCATAAAGGGTGACAAAACAGTCACAGAGTGCAATGAAATTTTTATCTTAATACATACACTATAAGCAAAAAAATTTGAAGTCACGATTGTCATGCAAGTTTCTTCCAGTGACAAACCACAATTCAGTGGAATGTGTTTAACATTTTACGTTCCTGTAGGAGATTACTCTATCCAGCCTGTGGAAACAAATTACATAGTCTGGAATATTAATCTTGATGAGCAGCAAGAAAAGTTTATACATATCATTTTGAAAGAAAATATAGTTCAATGTGAAACAATGGTGTCATTGTAAAAACAAGGTATGCTTTTTTGAAAACAAGAGATAAATCATTAAAACAAATCTTGAAAAGTTGAAAGCTGTTACACAAGGATAACCTAAGTTGTTTTATTATTATTATTATATTAACACAGTTTGCTGTTGTTTATTCATGAACCTCCACACTGGTTTTCTCACAGGCATTCTCTGAATGTCAGTTTGCATAATTGTTACACAGGTAGATTTTTTTTAGTTTTTAAGAAGCTTGCCACTTAAACTTTCCTTGCATTGCCCACTTCTGGGAATTAGTTTCATCACACTCCTTCAAAACAGGAAGAGTAACATCTTTGTCTTCAGGTTTGGTAAGACATCGTCCTGTGTTCACATGCCGGATTGTTCGTTCCTGTAAGGAAATAAAAATCTTTATTAGTAGATATACACAAAATTATATACAGTAGAAAAAACATTATCTGGAGTTTTAAGGTTAAACTTATTGGAAGACACAATTTACTTGACCCAGTAAATAAACTGATTGACATTAAATGTACATCAGCATGAAATTTATGCAACAGATTGTTCCTCCTGATGTAAAGAAAAACTTTAGACTGCAGAGAGGCTCTTATGCTGTAAAAACAAGTTCCATCCAAAACATATGTACTTATAAGATTCACATAAAAAATTATTCTTGATCATTAGAGCTAAAGAATGGACTATACATGAAAATGGTAATAATTTGGTAATTATGACTTTCAAAGTTTTCTTCCAAATTAAAATTTATCCAGGCAGTTCTCTGCCAAACACTAACTTGTATCCAGCTTTTCTAAATATATCGTGAGCAGAGAAATACACGAATTTCCTGACTAAAAATTAACTCTCTCGCTACAGACTCAGTCGAATCAGCCAAGTTCGTGACCCCAAATTGATCTCTACAGTTTAATACTATAACTTCTAATAGTTTTGTGTAGCTTCATGAAATTTTGCAAGTTTTCAGTAAGCATTAAAGGTCTTTTGTAGACAAAAAAATTATAATTTTTGATTTCTCTGTGAATATATGGAGTCAAAGAGTTGACTGCTCTGAGTGCAAAGTGATTTTCATTTTATGATTAAAAATATTTTTCTTTGTTTGAAAATTGTCAGATTTCATTTGTATAATCTCTAAAACCTCCTAAATAAATTTCAAGCGTTTTTCTCAGTAAAACTTTATATTTTATTAGTTGTTTTCTCTACCCTAACTGCACAAGGATTGACAATCTGACCTACCTTGTAACCATCATATAAATACGTTAAATAAACCTAAATTACCTTTTTTCTTTCTAGAATGACTTCAAATTGTAACATGAGACTATTTGTTTATCATAAATAGCTGAAATTTTGTAACAGTATATATCTGTTTCAACGTAAATTCTATTGTTTTATTGCTCTTTGAACAGTGTCTAACTAATAATCCCACCTCACAAGTTGTAAATCATTACATAAGACACAGTAAAAACAAGAAACATAATACTTGCCTGGATCTGGTTTTTTTTTTTTATGTCAACTACCAATGAAATTGAACCCTACTTTTTTTATACTAATGGTACTACTATACTAAATAATGTTTTATTTAATTAAATAATGTACCTAAGAACACAGAATAATAACACGTAAAAAGCAGACAATATGTAATAACTATCAAATTCTTTCTGGCTTTCTAACTATGTGATAAGAGCCATTAAAAAATTCAGCTAACCTCATCAATGTATTTCCTGTGAGAATAAAGTTTGAAATGGAAGTGAAATAGACAATTCTTTGTATGGAAAACAATGTAATATGTCATTTGATAGATTGAAACTTTGGCTTTCTATTAGTTATAAATAATGTAGTGTTAAAAATCAAAGAGAACTAATGGCAATTTGTGAAAGAGAAGATGTGATGAATGGGCATGGCAAGAGGGGTCTGATTTTCTATTTTATGGCTCTGTAATCAAGTAAGATTGAAAACTATAAAAATTATACTTTGCCTGAGTAATAACAATGATATAATGTGTAATTTAGGAGTACTGGTAAATAAATTAGAGAAAAGGGAATACCTAGAGAGCCAATGTCACAATTCTTATACTAGGGCGAGTTCGAGGATTTTTAAAAATATTTAATTTTAAAATTAAGAACTTAAAACAAATTTTTTAATATTAAAATTTGATTTATCAACTATGCTTTTATGCCAGGTTTATTCGTACACTATGATAATAAAGTAGTTTAAGTTTTGAATGTAACTTTCTAAAATGTCATGACATGTGCATTTTGACCTGCCTGTAGTGTGAGGGTTAATGTATTATATTTGATGAATTGACACTAATGAAATCATCTTTATATAATATATTTATTCAAATACAAACAAAATGGGATTAATCATTCCTTAAACACCTGGGGTAAGTTTCTCACCTGTTCACACAAATTATGAATCCAGAGCTATTAAATCCAATTAGAGATCATTGTAAAAGTGTTTTCATGCCTCATTTCAATCAAGAAAAAAATATAGAATTTTATCTCTACTAAAAAACTAACAGGAGCTTGATGTACTTCACTTTATGATTTTTTTTCTATGATAAAAACATATTATAATAACTTTAATAACAAAATACAAATTAAAAAGTTTTGCACAAAATACCAAGATATTTTGATTAAAGTAATTTGTAGCACTTAAAAAATAATTGGAGTTACACAAAAAACAACAACAATAATACACATGAACTAAATTAAGTTAATGAATCCTAATTAGAAGCTTATGCACCTGAGCACCTGAGTCTTCAAAAAGTTTATGATCTTAAATACCTTTGTCTTTAGTTCAGATGCTTAAGAATTATGTGTTTACATTGTAACTATAGAATTTTTTTTATTTCTGTTAATAATTATTCGTAAGAGCTCATGAGTGAAAGTAAAGAAGAAGAATGTAAACAATATGTCAACCACACTATTATCTGCTATATACAGGATCGAGGTCTTTTGCCCAATACAATATCTCTTTAGGCACTGGGATATACCAGACATAGTAATAGTAGTTACGACACTATTTATTTTAGCAAACTGCTCGACAAAAACTGTTATGGCGTGAACTGGATTAATTTAGTGAAGTCTAATTTTTCATAAATTATATTCATATAAAAACAAGGTGGTTTTAGGATAAGGATTATCTAACACTATACTATTTATCTTAATACCACATACAGTAGAACCTTGATTAACGAGCACTGCATCATTAAGGACAGACCTTTTCAGTCTTTCTTTCTTCTACTATTTGTAACCAAAATAAATCTTGCAATAATGGGCATTTTGATATTCCAAATTAAGGGCAGTGTCTTTAGTCTCTTTCTCTAAATGGGCACTTGATAAAGCAGGGAGTTATCTTTGTATACATGTATGGTATACTGCTAAATTCCAAACATCCCAGAAGGAGGACCAATATTCACTTTGATGTTTATTGGATCAGTTCCAAACCATATACTGTAATAAATGTTTTCACAGATTCAAAGTGCAATCTTATTACTCTGAGGAAATTCTGATTGTAAACACAGTGGGATACATAAGTTGACAAATTCTACATCGTGTTCTCAGAACAGGGGGTCAAGCTAGCTTATTTCTGTGCATGTGCTTTGTTGCTCTCAAGAGTATTGTATTACGGTGTCACGTAAACAGTCTAATAACACAAGCAGTGATTTGTTGTGTATACTTTCAGCGGATTTTTACTTCAGTCGACAGTAAAATAAACACAGAAAATAAATATGAAATGTTTAGCAGTTCAAAATCTGAAAAGAAGTACTTTGAAACTTTGTGACTGATAAAAAAAGAAAAAAGGACAGCTAATCCACCACCTGAGACCTCCTGCTGATAATGCTCCATGTCATGGCAACGTGCAACTCACGAACACCCGTGTCCTGCATACACCAAACAAAATGGGGTGGCCTTAAAATTCAGAAATTTAGTATGGTCAATATGGAATCCAGCTTTGCGTAGCTCATTTTTTATATTAAGGGCACCTTGCTATAGAGGGAATTTGAATGCAGTCAGAAGGGTGCCCTTAATTTCAAGGTCCTGTATTAAAAATTAACATTTTTTTAATTAACTTGCACATCATTCAGAATAATTGGTTTATTTTCTAAAATCTGATACAGTATTATGTTATTCTGATCACATAAACAGAAATGTGGGAAGTAGTGTAATATTTTTCAATATCCTGCTTGTAAATGAAAACAAGTAAAAATAATTTTAGTTTCAGAAAATTATAATTGAACAAAACAGGGAAGAGGAAACTTCTAGAACAGCAGACTTAACACGTGACAAGCAAGATCAGGTCATACAGTAATACTGAGATTTCACCCAACTATGCCTTAATACTTTTATTAAATAAACTAGCATCTCTAATCAATAAAGAAAATTTGGATCCAGTAGGTAAAACGTTTTGGGGAAAGAAATAAAACTAACATCTGTTGAGTGTAATTTCAGTTTTGGGTAATCTGTTTTTTGATAATTCTAAGCAGGTTTCTTTCCACAGGCAATATGACATTCACATGGCTCCAAAATGTCTAAGTATGGTGGTTAGAAAATACACATCTTTTTTAGAAAACTGACATATTATAATGCAGCATCTATATATATCTACCTTATTGTCATACATCCACATCTGATTTCCTCCCATTCCGTGACATCTTATAAGCTTAACAGGTCCTTTTGGTGAAGCTGCATCCAAACAGTTGTCATCAGACATTATTTGCTGTCGCTTTGTGTAGGCAAAAACCTAGCATGTATAAAAACATTTGAATGATTCAAATTTTCCAACATTTGAAAAAATGCATGCAATAGTGACAACATTTTTGCTCAAACAGGTAGCTCCTTCTTAGTTACCCATAGTCTAGATATGTTTGGACTATTTCTCCTTCAAGACCATCAAATTCTGCATAATTGACATATGATTAAAGTTTGATAAAATCACAACAACTAACTTTATAATTTAGCTTTTTCAGAGTATCATTTTTCTCTCAAAACCTGATTTAACAATCTACAGGAATTTCATAACTTATTTTGAATTTCTTTTCAATCCAAACTACTTGATGAAAAGAATTGTTCAAACTTTATCTCGGCCATCATTTGAGGTTGATTTGCTAGCCAAGTTTGTCATCCAAGTTCATTTAACTTTAGTGGTTGCAGCATTTCCAGCTGTTGTCTACCATTAACTTATGTCTACAGTACATTCAAAAATATTTTACGTACATTGCATTCATCGTACCTGATATAAACACTTTCTTTTTCACAATTTAATACTGGCTAATCAGTAATATTGATAAGCAAATTTCATGTAAACTTACTTGAATCTGTAAATTCTATTTTATGATATACTGAGTAATGTTGTTGCTGTATGTCATTTACATGCATGCATGCATACATGAAATGATACCCTAAAATTGGTCTTCATACTCAGCCAGCAACAAAAGACAATATTAAACTTTGCTCCCCGAGCATAGATATCTCATGCTGTCACATGTTTTATCTTTTAGAAAATAGTTTTAGTTTGGTAATTAGTTAGCACCCAGAGAAGTCTTAAATTATTTTATCTTTTTACTAATAAAGTTATTGAATTTTCACAAACACCAAGCCAAGAGTCAATATAATGAGTTGTGCATTTCATAAACTTGCTGCAACTATATATATGTAGCTCATTGTCATTATCATGAGAATAAAAAAACAAATTATACAATAACGTCTGTTAAAATGTTTCAAATATTATTCTCATCACAAATCACATTTAATGATTTGATACATGTTATCCATTTGTATTAATGTTAAAAAGATTCGCATATGAAGAATAATCTAAGAAAAATAATTTCCTTCATATTCTAAAGAAGTTAGGTGATAAAAATGACAAAGAACTAGTGACTGAGATAAGTTTCATGACATATATAAAATATATTAAACTAAATCTTTCTGAAAGTGCTGTAAAAACACAAACTGGTCTGCAAACTCACCTGGTTTCCTCCCAATCCATGACAACTGCTCATTGCTACATGTTCACCACTCTTGCGACCAAATGTATCCAGACAATTTCCTGATTCCACATTCTTTATCTACCATTAATAAAATGTTTTCTTATTTTAAGATTTATTCAAACAATCAAAATACCACATAGTTGCAAAAAAAACTTGATAGTTTTTCTTACTTGTAATTAATGAATTTTTCAAAGGTTAAAATAAAAGAATATTACAAAGTACATGTTCAAGGTGGGGAAAAAATATTTTTATTAAGAGAAACAGATATTCAGTTCGTGATGTTTTTCACTTTGGAACCAATAATAAAGAAACTTCTCCAAATGACACATTCAATTTGTTGTATTTTCTATTTTGAAACTTAACAATAAAACTTCTCAACTGAAACAAGTATTCAATATGTGTTGCTTTCCATTTTGGAAGCAGTTAGTATTAAAACTTACTTCTCCAAGATAGTAGTAATCAAGAGGCATTTGAGACTCAGGATAGATATTTTCTAGGTACCAACGAAAACTTTTACATTTTAGTTTTTCTCGGAGCTGTTTCCTGGAAGTGACATCTCCCATTTCAGCTTTTTTAGCTCCTATAGTAAAAACAAACAAACTGTAATCACATTTACTGTCTACTTTCAGTCTCTGCACTTATCTGTACCTGTTAATGTTATTACTACAAGAGTAAATTGTGATACAAAATTATTCTTTTATAAGAGCACTTGAAAACAGAATTTAGAATATTCCAAAACGTTTTTAACTCTTTGTTGTTCTAGACTGTTTTAACCACATTTTATAATTAGTAGAGATCACAATGCATTTAAGGATCCTCAACCGTAACATGATCTCAAGGAGGATGTACAGTCTCATTTAATTTGAATGTTGTATATTAGGTGAGAAAAAGTAAAGCATAGAAACAAATACTGTCATGCATACACTGCATAGGTTACTTTTAATTGGTTTTCTTTTATCCTGTCTTCACCTGTACAAAATAACCAAGTGGGTGGTTATTAACATTCAAAGCATAAAGTTATTTTATTATATTCTTTATGCTGACCATTAATGGTGATATTGAAAAACAAATTACTACCCCTACCTGGATTGATTGCATAATAAAAATCCTTCCACTCATCCAGCCAAACGGAAGCAAGTCGGGCATTGTTATGATTGACAATTTTACTTGTACCCCCAGGGAAAGTATATGGTGTTGATTTACGAAAAACATGACCAACATGAGAACATGTGACAATTTCAAGTGTTCCTCCACACATCCATATCTGAAAGAAATATATATATATTTAATTACTTTTATTTTTATCTTGATTCAAATACATTGGCATATATAACAGAGAAAAATCAAGGCATTAAATCTTCTACTATTGTCACATTTTTTTTTGTATTTCATTAAATTTGTTCTAATATAAACATTAGTTATGAAGTTGCAAACTGTTCATAGTTTAAAGCACTGACGAGAGATTATTTCTAATGAAACATCAAGAAAAGAAATATTCATTTTAATGTTTATCTTAGTGGATTTCAAAATCTTTCCGTGTATTTTTACTGTTATGTACACTCATTAAGATACATCTGTAAATCAATTGTAAGATCTTTAAAAACAATGCGCAACATGTACTTTGTTTAAAGATTCTTAAGGAATTGTAAAATATGTGTTTTTAAAATGTGTAATTTCGTCTTGATTCTATACTTATTTTATTTGTTTACAATGTCCAAATCTTAAAAAAAAACATATATTCAAATATTGCCTGAAGCACATCTTTAAAGTATTTGGGCTGAAAAAACTGTCAAAGGTTTGAAACAATGTTATCCTTACGACACTATTAAAGGAATTTTTATTCACATAGAACAATATTAAAAACAGTCATAACTACTATTTAAGTTACTAATTATAGTAGCATTAACTTTAAATTATATGAAGTTTTATTTCAATAAAGTTTCTTTTTAACAATACGGAAAAATTAATAAAACAAGCTTTTCTCTTAAAATTGCATGAAATGAAACTTTTGTATAACTGATCTCTGAAAAAACTGTTTTAGTGCTAATATGGTCAAGCATCCTCACTGACATGTTATCTTTAACCTTTCCAGAAGAGCTTATTAAAATGTATAGTAGAATTTTAATTACAAAACTATATTACTTATTTAGAATAAAACAAATTTCAATACATTATGAGAATGTTAATAATACAACAGAAGCCAAGAAAAGTAAATTTATCAAAAACTTTATCATTAGCACTCTCCCAACACTACAATGAATTTTTTTGCTTTATTTTGATCCGTTCCCGTGTTTGTAAAACTGTTTATCCATGAGTTCCTCCTAAAGTTTTGGAGCTAGCAGAACTACACCTGGCAGATGGACTTAGGGTGGCCCACAAGGTGTTCTCATCTACCAAGGAGGGCTAAAATACTCCTGGAAGGCCATCTGGGTATGAAGTAGATTTTCAGTGTGATTTTGTTTTTGGACTTCCTCAGCATCCTGGGAGGCACCATGTTTGAAACTGTATTCATAACCCTATTCACAAGCTAGAAGGACCAATGTGGCATGTGCTCAGGTACAGGTTTCCTAACAGGGTTTGTTTCTGGGTAAGGAGCCCCCTTGGGGTAGCTACAGATATAAATGGGGATAATGGAGGAGATTGATCAATACATTGAGGTCTCTGTGACCCATGATGGGGTGGGTCTTTGAACCTTTCAGTGGAGTGTGGGTATTTTATGCTAAGAAACATAAGTAGAGAAACGTATAATGTGAAATTACTTCTGCAAATGTGCATGGAGTTGTCAACTTTGTTTGTTGTTAAGCACAAAGCTATACCACAAGTATCAAAATCTGATTTTTAGTGTTATGAATCTTCAGACTTACTGCTGAGCCACTGGGGGGAGTGGGGGGTGGAGCAGAGTTATCAAATTTAATTTATTTTCTCACATGACGAGGCACATATTCACATAGATAATTTCCATATCTTAATGGCTGCCCTAAAGCTAGCACTTATGATGTAGTATGAAATATCAATAAATCATGTTACATGTGAAAAATATGTTGTCAATATACTATTTAGAAGATCAAAATGTGTTTAGTATGAAATTGAAGTGAAAGAAAACAACCAGTGAACAACCTTGATTTGTTTGTTTTGAATTTCACGCAAAGCTATCTGCGCTAGCCGTTCCTAATTTAGCAGTGTACGACTAGGAAGGCAGCCAGTCATCACCACCAACTCTTGGATTACTCTTTTACCAATGAACAGTGGGATTGACTGTCACATTATAATGCCCCCATGGCTGAAAGGGTGAGCATGTTTGGTGGGACAGGGATTCGAACCCATGACCCTCAGATTGCGAGTCGAGCGCCCTAACCACCTGGCCATGCCGGGCCATGAACAACCTTGAGAAAGCAATTATAAATTGATTATTGGTATATTGATAATATATATTCATGAAACTGCAAAGCTAAACATCACGCACTAAGAAAAACTATACAAAACCATTTTGTGCTTTGAGCTACACCACCGCAAGAAAGCCCACATTCAGGGCTTTAGTAACATCTGTATTATGCTACTTTGCAATTTTTTTGGGATTTTACAGATATTACTTTCTGGCAGACATTAGATGAGTTTTATCATTCTTAGCACTATTGAATAAGTAGCATACCATTTTGACCTACATGATACATAAACGAATGAAACATGTAAAACATTTTAATTTGTAGCTTCACTTCATACACTGAACATTTTTATCTATGTGGATGGGAAGCAAAGTAAGTCAGTTTTCAGATGAGAATAGAATTTTGGGAATGGCTAAAAAAAATTATGCTTAGTATAGATGGTAAAATTCATATCAAGAAAAAACTAAAACTCTTCATGTCATGGTGATAAGAGAAGATTGGTTAGGTATTAGGTTGTCAAGAAATTAATGTCATTTTTTTTAGATGAAAAAATCCAAACAACTTATAGATCAAAACAATACATATATTAAATGAAATATTCTCCATTCTTATTGATGATGCTTTTCCATCTTACAATCAGGTTGTTAATGCCCTGATTAAAGAAATCACTTGGCTTTGAAGCAAAAAACATGTCGATGTCCTCTTTAACACCTTCCAAATTTGCATACATTTTCCCATTAAGATGTTGTTGCTGCAAGCAAAAAAGATGGTAATCTAATGGTGCCATATCTGGAGAATATGGTGGGTGGGGAGAACTTCCTAACCAACTCCATAATCTTGTGTTGCATCAAACATGCCACGTGTGGATGTGCATTGTCATGGAGAAGAAGAACACCTTTCCGATTGACAAGTGAAGGGCGTTTCTGGTGAAGGGCTTGATTTAAACGTTCCAGTTGCAGACCATAGATCTCAGCATTGACAGTTTGCTGTTGAATGAGGAGTTCAAAATGAATTACTCCTTTGATGCTCCACCAAATGCAAAGCATCACTTTATGTGGATGGAGTCCAGGTTTTGGGGTTGGAAGTAGTTTCTTGTCTAGGACTGAGCCATTGTTTTTAGCGTTTAATATTCTCATAGAGAATCCATTTTTCATCACTGGTGAGAATTCTGTCCAAAAATGGTTCACGCGCATTACTTGCCAGAAGAGACAAAGCAACATTCACACGTTGGAAACAATGATCACCAGAAAGTTTGTGAGACACCCAAACACCTTCGTTATGGAGTTTTCCCATATTCCTTAGATCTTTACATATTGTTTCATGAGAGACATGCAATTTCAGGGCCATTTCACAAATGTGTTGTCTTGTGTTAGACTCAAAAGTGTCTTCAGAGCATCAATATCCACTCCAACGTGCCCTTGCCATCACAGTTTTTAAGGCTAAAATCACCTGAACAAAATTTATTGAACCATTGTAGACACTTATGAACG